ATATAGTGATTCTTTCCTTTTTCCAGTAAACTGAACATCGGCATCAATACTTCTGACATTGGAAAAAATCTGAACAACATGTGGACCAAAGAGAAAATACCTACTGAAGCAAGATTCTTTCTCAGACCAGGAATATGATAAACATTTTCCAGTAAAATGCTTCCATCCTCAATCACATTCTTTGAAGTTGCCTTCTGTCATCACAGAATGTAATGAATTATCTGCTGTAACAATGAATTTCTTCCCTTTATGTGGACGTACATAAAAAATGAGATCATTATTTCCTGTCGCATGATGGAAACAACCAGAATCAACAATCCACTCATGTCTATAATCAATACCATCATCTGCAGGCATGGTGTTCAATTACTTCGATAGATAAACAATTCTCCCATTTTGGTTGTTGAGATTCATTGGTCTCATGTGCAACATTCGCTGCTGCCTCTACCAATTTTTACACGAAAATTTGCCTTAACGTGCCGTGGCTTTCCACATCGATCACATGAAACTTTCACTCGACAATCTCGTTTGAAATGCCCCATCTAAAGCAGCCTTTATGATTTTTTTTACTCTACTCATCTGATTTTGATGGTCGTCTGTAACTTGGAGAAGACTTTGATGAGCCTCGTGACCTTTGATCCTTGACATAAAGCATACTCCCTAACTGTGAAGAAATATTAATTCCCGCCATCTGTTTTGCCAAAGCTTCCTGGACAAAAGGTTTTCCAACTCGATAATTGAGGGTTGAGTTCCCCATCCTTGTATGGAAGATACAAAAGGCATGAACTCTTTTTGCAAGCCTTGAATAAAATAACGACGTAAGCGGCTCATCAGTATCAAGTTCTGAAATTTCAGAACACAATGACCTGACTTTTGAAAAATACTCTTTAATGGAAAGATTGCCTTCACTTGTAGCATTAAGCTCATTCTCCAGAAATTGTAAACGCGCTGTATTTTTCCTATTAAACAGCGACTCAAGCGTCTCCCACAACTCCCGTGGTGACTTCAAATCACGGACATGCTCAATATACTCTTTATTGATTGATGTCCATAATATAAATAGAGCTTTCCCACATTTAATCTTCCATTTCCGTTGTGGCTCAGCATTTTGTGGAATGTCTGCAGGAATTTCTGTCTCATTTCCCGAAACAAGCTCCCACAAATCTTTCCCTTGTAAATGCGCTTCCATACATAATATTGGAAATTATGTGCACCAAGTTTTTCCATGGAGCCACCTTCATCTTGATTAAAAACAATAACCTAGCTCTGATACCATGAAACAAATAGTGCAGTCGAAGCACAAAACTTTTACACAGTAAAAACTATGAATTTGTTATGCTGAATGAAAAATAGAACAACGATTACAACCTGATAATTGATGGCAACCTAGTGCGCCTTCAAACCAGGAAGAAACTGAAAAGTACCCAAACTGACTCTAACCAAATATAACCTGCAAACTCAAGTTAAAATAATAAAAATATTAATTTATTTAAATAGACTCCAAAGAAAAATTAGAAATAAATAATAAATTCCAATGCAAAGATTGCACTAGTTTTTAACATAATATATAGTGGAAACCATAAATATGTAAAATTTATTGAAAATATTAGTGCATAAAATTTATTTATTAAATTCGAAACTAATAACGATAAGTTTAGTTATTTGGTCAAGTCATACCTACGGGTTAGTCACGTATTCATTCATATGTGTAGATATTTTTAGTTTTGATACGTATTTTCTTTATAAGACATATTCATTCATTTGGACATTAATTTCCGATTGGACTATCCGCGATCTAAAGTATTTTAGCAGATTGAAAGTAAAACCATTGAATACACTTTTAAGTTTTTGTATTATTTTAAGATATCTAAAATTTTAATAGAATTTAAACATTACTCTAATTTAAATATAATCCTAATCTGCAAAAAAACATTTCATAGATTTGATGAAAATTTAAATTTACTACTATTCTTTGAAATAATCGGTAACAAATAGAAATATAAAGATAATATTTATTGAAATGTGCTTAATATAAAGTATAGTAAACTGTTATAATTGCATTCTAACCATAGTAAATAATTCTTGTTGAATTGTTGTTTTACATTTTTCCAAGCTATACCCAAACCCTTGTGTATATGGAGAAAACAATTTATTCTACATGTTTGCAAAAGTCGTTATTTTTGTCATCTAACCGCATGACGTTCACACACCACGTGCTGTTACGCGCTGCTAAAGGGTATAAGTAGGAATTTTTGCAAACATATAAATTATATTTTACCATCGATATAAATACAAGACAAAAATGCATATATATATATCAATAATTATTTGATTTAGGGGTTTAAGGAAGTTTGATTTCAGATATTTCATTTCTAAATTATTTGATTTCTTCAATATGTTTTCTTGTCTTGGGCTCCATAAACATCTAAAGTTTTGAATGTAAAAATAGTTGTTTGATGCGGTTCATCTGATCTATTATATTTTTTAACATAAGAAATAGATTTTTTTAATAGTAGGTGAAAATAATAGATGAACATATCCTAATATTTCTTGGATCCCTAAATGCATTTTGTATTTGCACTTGGTTACTATCTTTCGCCAAAGGTAAATTACGTTAAATTTTATTTTGACATCTATGTTGCGGTCATGTAGTTATTCTTGACATAGAATATCTTCGATCACATTATACTGATGATCCATGATCCAGAGTATTTTTACATATTGAAAGCAAAACTTTTAAGTTAAATTTTATTTTGACATCTATGTTGCGGTCATGTGGTTATTCTTGACATAGAATATCTTCGATCACATTATACTGATGATCCATGATCCAGAGTATTTTTACATATTGAAAGCAAAACTTTTAAGTTTATTTTTATATTTTAGTTTTATCTTAAGATATCTAAAATTTCAATAGAATTTATACATTTAACTCATATTTAAATGTAATGCAAAACAATTGATTCAAAATTCTATTTATACTATTTCAAATCTGCAAAAAAATATTTGATAGATTTGATAAAAAGTTAACATTACAACTATTCTTTAAAATAATTGGTAACAGATAGAAATATTAATATAATATTTATAAAATACTTAGTATTAAAATAGTAAATTATTATAAATGCATTTCTATTGTAGTCAACAGCTAAGCAGTACGTAGGATTATATTTTTTCAATTTTATTCTTTGATGACATGATATTTCAAACGCAAAACAATCATTTAAATATTATTGTAAGAATATGATAAAAGCAAGAACCGGTATCCGCTACCCGAATAAACCCGGCCTGAACCTAATACCCTGAAAACTAGATCGACAGGCAAGTCACAAAGTTTACTCCTCCTTTTACCAGTGCTGCCTGAACTTCTCCGCATAGGCTTCTCCCGACTCCATTGCAATCTTGTTCTTCAAGATCGGTATTAACACTTGGTTTCGTTGATATTTCAGGCCTGTTGTTCCTTCCCCGCTAATCTCGGTTGGTATCAATTTGTTTGTGTAATTTTCGCTCTTACTCTCTCTCTATCTCTCTCTTTTTAATTGTTTGGAATATTTTCTTATGCCATTTTGAGATGTGTTTGTGTTATTCTATGTGGATTGTGGATGATTTTGTTATTCTGATTTGCTTTCCTTCATTTGGATTTTAGAGTAGTACTATTAGTAAATTGGTTTTGGATTCACCTTGTTAACATTTCACCTAGGTTTTCTCCCTCGCAGCCTAGGATTTTTCATAAAGTTCTCTTATTTTTTCAAAAGTTTTTCTTGCTTATCATGGGGAATTGGTTCTTTACATATATATTTCCTACATACACCAATGCTTGGTGTGTGTATGCATGTATATGAACTAGGGTTTGATGGAAGGTAGATTTTAGATATTCAATGCGTAAACCATTTTATTTGTTACAGGGGTTGTCTGGTATTGCATCAAATAAAGGTATAGAGTCTTGAGTGTGAAATTTGTTATTTGATATGGTGCTTCCAATATTTAACATATTTTGAAATAAGAAATAGATTTCTTCAATGATAAATGCAAAACATAGACTAGCATGCCCTAGTTTTTTCTTTGATCTATAGATGCATTCTGTATTTGAATTTGGCTAATTTGTCCAACAGTCAGTTACGTTTAATTTTATTTCTACATTTAGGTGGAAGCATGTGTTATCTTGACAAGAAATCTCCTCGATCACTCTGTACTTTTGGATTTTATAAATTAGTTATACATTAATATACGGGATTCGATTTTTCCACTGTAAAAAAACTACCTTAGATTCTAAATTGGCTTTTCAGTAAGGGCTAAGTAGTCATAATTGTCATTTAATTAAACGATCACTGCACAAAATTTTCAATTGAGAATGGTAATGTCTACACCATTTGTGCACCTATTGTGACTTTACCGTTGCTTTCATTTGTTTTATATGCGTTTAAGTATTTGCGGCGCATTGGTTGCTTTCTTTTTTGTGGATTTAATCTATCGATACAATTTATCGTTATTAATTGCTTTCCATTTGACATTTCTTTTACTATTCTATTGTTATTAAATGCTTTCTCGAAAACTTTTCTTGGTAAATATATCTGTGATGTAGATCCAACATATTTTGCCCATGAATTCATAAGTTTAGATGAATATTTTATGACTCAGACCCTTAATGCTGATGTTTTATTAAAAATATCTTAAAATTTGTAAAACTAACATTAGAAGCACTTTTGGACATCTTGCTTGTGCTGATTGGTCAACACATAAACGTCGTTTGGATCACCATTATTTCCGGAACTAATCCGAATTTGCCTGTATTGATATGCATCTTTTTGTACGTGCCATGGAACTATGCACGGTTGCTTATGTTTTCCATTTACTTATGATAATGGAGTTTTAATTTTGCGAGATTCTTCGAAAAAAAGCTCGTTACCCTCAGCAGTCGTGTGCACTAGTTGTGAAAGTTTCCGGGAGTCTACGAGCATATCTTTTATTGGGTGTTCATAACGTAGGAACTGACGCAACAAATGGATAGAGGAAATCAGAAACCATCACTTAAAATTACTTGGAAGTTAAACGGAGCAAAGTTGAGTGATGTTTATTGGAAGCCGGTTGACGAGCCAAAGGCAGTAGAACAAGAAACGGGAGCAGCGGGTAGTTCTGCTCTTCCCAGCACCCCGGCAACGAATGTGCAGGATCAAGATCAAGAGCGTGAAATTTCAGCGAGTGAAAGCGACAGCGAAGCCACCCGAGATGATCCTCACATATTGGAAATCAAGCAGCTACGCGCTGGCGAAACAGGAAATGCACCGGATTCTGATGCCTGTCAAACCCCACAATCGGCCATAGAAAGCAACCTTCTGAAGAAGAGGCCTCGAGGTATCCCATCAGTGGGTGCCTTCACAGTCCAATGTGAAAACTGTTGCAAATGGAGACTTATCCCGACGAAGGAGAAGTATGAAGAAATTCGGGAGAACATCATGGAACGGCCGTTCGTCTGTGAAGATGGTCGAGAGTGGAAGCCTGAGATGTCATGCGATGTTCCTGCCGACATAAATCAAGATGGCAGTCGATTTTGGGCGATAGACAGGCCCGGTATTGCGAAAACACCTACCGGATGGCAACGGCTCATACGAATCAGAGCTGAAGGAGGAACCAAGTTTGCAGATGTGTAAGAATCCGATTCTTTAATATTACCTGCCATCATTGTTACAATAAAGTGTGGATATTTTCTTATAATTAATCAATCTTCTTGCAGGTATTATGTCTCGCCGACGGGCAAGCGGCTTCGCTCTATGGTCGAACTTGAAAGGTATCCATCGCATCTTAAACACACCATTGGCGTTGTTATATCATATTCCACTATCTGATTTTACCCTCTTTGAAGGTACCTTTCCGAAAATCCCGAATATGCAGCCTCCGGCATTAACATGGTGAATTTTTCCTTCAAAATCCCACGACCACAACAACCGGATTATGTTAGGAAGCGTCCTCCGCCTCCTTCTCCACTTCCCCTATCGTGGGCGCCCCCTGCTCCAATCACAAATACGCATCTCAACCGGGCAAGTTCTTTGACTGACAAGAAGAATGAGAGTTCTTCAAGTCTAGCTGAGCTGTCCAAGAATGAGTAGAGACTACAACCATTAGAAAATATTGTTGTAAGTTCTTTGACTGACAAGAATAATGAAAGTTCTTCAAGTCTAGCTGACCTGTCCAAGAATGAGTAGAGATTACAACCATTATAAAATGTTGTTGTACTTCATTTGATATGTCATAGAAGAAGAAACAAAATAAGTAAATATAAATTATATTGTGTAATATATATGTTGGAAACCATAAACATGTAAAATTTAATGAAAATATTAGTGCATAAAATTGATTTATTATATTCGAAACTAATAACCATAACCCTAGTTATTTGGTTAAGCCTACTTACGGGTTAGTCAAATATTCATTCATATGTTTAGATATTTTTAATTTTGATATATATTTTATTTATTATACATATTCATTCATATTGACTTTAATTTCCCATTGGACATAATATTGATGATCCTCAATCTAAAATACTTTTGGAAATTGAAAGTTCCATTAGTTTAATTTATTGTTTATATTTTAGAATTATTTCAAGTTATCTAAATTATTAATAGAATTTAAACACTGAACTCAAATTTAAATATAATCCTATGCAAAAATCTTTTGATAGATTTGTTAAATTAGATAGATTTGCTGAAAATTTAACACTACAATTATTCTTTGAAATAATAGGTAACAAATAGAATTATAAATAAAATTTTTATTGAAATATGCTTAATATTAAATATAGTAAATTATTAGAAATGCATTCCCACTGTAGTCAACAGTTAAGCATTACCTAGGTTTAATATTTTTGGCAATTTTATCCTTTGATGTCATGATATTTCAGACGCAAAACAATCATTCAATAATATTTTTAGAATATCAAAAAAGCAGGTTTACTCCTTCTACCAGTGCTGTCGTGAACTTCTCAGCATAGGCTTCTCCTGACTCCATTGCATTCTTTTTTTCCTTTTTTGATCGGAAAACTCCATTGCAATCTTGTTCTTCAAGATCGGTGTTAACACTTGGTTTCTTTGATTTTCAGGCCAGTCGTTCCCTATCAGCTAAGATCCGTTGGTATCAATTTGTTTGTGTAATTTTCCCTCTCACTGTCTCTCTAACTCTCTCATTTTAATTGTTTGGAATATTTTCTTATGTCATTTTTAGATGTGTTTGTGTTCTTCCATGTGGATTGGGAATGATACTGTTAGTCTTATTTGCTTTCCTTAATTTGGATTTTAGAGTAATACTATTAGTAAATTGTTTTTGGATTCACCTTGTTAACATTTCACCTAGGTTTTGTCCCTCGAAGCTCTAGGATTTTTCATAAAGTTCTCCTTTTCTTTCGAAAGTTTTTCTTGCTTTCCATGGGGAATTTGTTCTCTGCATATATATTTCCAACGTACACCAACAACTTCGTGTGTGAAAACATGTGTATGAACTAGGGTTTGATGTTAGTTAGATTTCAGATATTCAATGTTTAAACTATTTTATTTGTTACAGGGGTTGTCTTGTAATCCATCCAATAGAGGTGTAGAGTCTTCAGTGTGAAATTTGTTGTTTGATATGGTGATTCCAATATTTAGCATATTTTGAAAGAAGAAATAGATTTCTTCAATAATAAATGGAAATCAAAGAGAAGCATGCATGCATGCCATAATTTTTTCTTGTATCTATACAGCATTTTGTATATGCACTTGGCTAATTTGTCCGACAGTCAATTACATTTAATTTATTTTCTACATCAAGGTGGAAGCATGCGTTATATTGACATGAAATCTCGTCGATCACTCTATATTTTTGGATATTATAAATTAGTTATACATTAATATACGAGCGACATGATTTGTCCACTGTAAAAAGTACCTTAGATTCTAAATTGGTTTTTTAGTAAAGGCTAAGTAGTCATAATCGCCATTTAATTAGACGATCACTGCACAAAGTTTTCAATTGAGATAGGTAATGTCGAAACTAAAAGGCTACACAATTTGGGCATCTATCCTGGCTTTACTGTTGCTTTCATATATTTTATATGCGTTTAAGTATTTGCGGCGCATTGATTGCTTGCTTCTTTGTGGATTTAATTTATCGATACAATTTATTGTTATTAATTGCTTTCCATTTGACGTTTCTATTACTATTCTATTGTTATTAAATACTTTTCGGAAAACTTTTCTAGGTATATATGTCGGCGATGTGGATCTAACAATTTTTTGCCTATGAATTCTTAGGTCTGCATGAATATTTCAAGATCCAGACCCTTAATGCTGATGTTTTATTAAAAATATCTTAAAAATTATAAAACTGACATTAGAAGCACTTTTGGACCTCATAGTCGTGCCGATTGGTCAACACATAAACGTCGTTTGAATCACCATTATTTCCAGAACTAATCCGAATTGGCCCTGTATATATTGATATGCATCCTTTTCTATATGCCATGGAGCTACTCATGGTTGCCTATGTTTTCCATTTACTTATGATAATGGAGTCTTATTTGTGTGCGATTCTTCGGAAAAGAAGCTCGTTCCTCTCAGCAGTCGTGTGCACTAGTTGTGAAAGTTTCCGGGAGTCTACGAGCATATCTTTTTATTGGGTGTTCATAATGTAGGAACTGACGCAACAAATGGATAGAGAAAATCAGAAACCATCACTTAAAATTACTTGGAAGTTGAACCGAGCAAAGTTCAGTGATGTTTATTGGAAGCCGGTTGATGAGCCCAAGGAAGTAGAACAAGAAACGGGAGCAGCGGGTAGTTCTGCTCTTCCCAGCACCCCGGCAACAAATGTGCAGTATCAGGATCAAGAGCATGAAATTTCAGCGAGTGAAAGCGACAGCGAAGCCACCCAAGAGATCCTCACATATTGGAAATCAAGCTGCTACGCGCTGGCGAAACAGGAAATGCACCAGATTCTGGTGCCTGTCAAACCCCACAATCGGCCATATAAAGCAACCTTCTGAAGAAGAGGCCTCGAGATATCCCATCAGTGGGTGCCTTCACAGTCCAATGTGAGAACTGTTGCAAATGGAGACTTATCCCGACAAAAGGAGAAGTATGAAGAAATTCGGGAGAACATCATGGAATGGCCATTCTTCTGTGAAGATGGTTGAGAGTGGAAGCCTGAGATGTCATGCAAGGTTCCTGCCGACATAAATCAAGATGGCAGTTGACTTTGGGCAATTGACAGGCTCGGTATTGCGAAAACACCTACCGGATGGCAACGGCTCATAAGAATCAGAGCTGAAGGAGGAACCAAGTTTGTGTTAGCAGAACAGGAAAAGAAATGCGCAGCAAAGAAATACGAACAAGAACAAAGGAGAATATTTTATTTCTGCTAAAAATATGATATAATCATTACTAAATATTATAAATTCAAATTTTAAACCAACGGTTGCAACTCCTAATAATATGCACATATTATTTACTCAAATAACAATAATAATTTGAAGCACTTAATTAATACTCCCCCTTGCTTTAAAGCTTGTCACTCCCATACGTCATTCTAAAATAATCATGTTTGGCTTGAGGAAGTGATTTGGCGAACATATCTGCTACTTGCTCGTTGGTTCCACAAAACATTACTGCAGTTGTTCCATTTGCTACAAGTTGTCGAATGAAGTGATGTTGCACGTCAATATGTTTTGTCCTCCCATAGAAAGCTGGATTTTTGGCGGTTGCAATTGTTGTCTTATTGTCACAGCAAATTTGTGTTGCCTCCTTCTGCTCATGATCCAAATCTGTAAGAAGTTTCCGAATCCACAAAGCGTGCTTTGCTGCCGAAGTTGCTGCTGAATATTTTGTTTCACGCGATGATAAAGCTACCGTGTCTTGTTTCTTAGAGCTCCATGTTACTGTTCCAGAACCGAGATTAAATATATCACCAGACACACTTTTTCGATCATCAATACACACAGCCCAATCACTATCGGTGAAGCCAACAAGTCTGAAATTTTTTTTCTGACTGTACCAAATGCCAAAGATCAACGTCCCAGCAATGTAACGAAGAATCCTCTTAGCAGCCCCAAACTGTTGTTTCGTAGGATAATGCATAAATCTAGACACAACACTAACCGAGAAAGAAATATCAGGTCTAGTGTGTGTTAAATAATTCAAGCCACCAACAAAACTTCGAAATAATGTTGCATTTGCTTTTTCAGTCCCGTCTTCATGCTGTAACTTCTCATTAATATTCATTAGTGTGGCTGTAACTTCACAATTCACCATGTTAAATCTCTTTAGAAGATCGGCAGAATACTTCTTTTGATCCATAAAAATTCCATCTTCACTCTGAATAACCTCGAGTCCCAAAAAATATTTTAGCAACCCAAGGTCTGTCATCTCGAATTTGCTCATCATGGTATGCTTAAAATCATCAAGTAAGGCCTTTGACGATGCAAGATATACCATATCATCAACATATAAATAAAACAACAAGAAATCCTCATTACCTTTCTTCTTTGTATATAAAGTAGGCTCATTCTTACTTCTTGAGAATCCATTTTTATGAAGGAATGAATCAATTTCACTTTACCAAGCCCGAGGAGCTTCTTTCAACCCATAAAGAGCTTTTCGTAACCTATAAACCTTACCTCCACTGCCAACAATATTAAATCCAGGAGGTTGAGAAACATACACCTCCTCTTCCAATGCACCATTTAAAAAAGCCGGCTTCACATCAAATTGATAAATTGGCAAATTTAATTGAGCAGCTAATGCCAAAATAATTCTCACAATTTCGAAGCGAGCAACTGGAGAAAACGTTTCGTCAAAGTCTATACCTTGTTGTTGTGAATATCCTTGTGCAACGAGTCGAGCTTTATGCTTTTGAATACTTCCATCCGGATTATATTTGGTACGAAACACCCATTTCAAGCCAACAATATTTCTATCATGTGGGGAATCGACCAACTCCCAAGTTGAATTTTTTTCAATAGCATTTAGCTCATCTGCCATGGCTTCTTTTCATTCTGATTTTTGTACAGTTTCTTCAAAAGACGTAGCATCAGCCGCTAACAAAGCAAACTCACATGATTCATAAATTTTTGTAACAG